GGGGGGGGACGGCGGGGGGGGGGGGGGGGGGGGGGGGGGGGGGGGTGGGGGTCAGGCAGAAGCCTGAGATCAGGTGGGAAGGGGGATGCAGAAGTAAGTGCCTTGGAGTGGGACCCCGAGGAGGACACTCCTCCCTCATTACAGAACGAGGCCCTCATGGGTGGTTCCTGAAATCCGAGCCTCTCCCCGCACCCAGCACCCACCTGGCTCACCTCCTCAATAGGCTCCCCACCTGTTGCCCAGGAGGCCAGACCACCCCTCTACAGGGGCCACCCTGCCCATGTCCCTGCAGCAAAGGGGAGGGTCCACTGATGGCCCCTAGGCCCTCCTCCCGACCTTCAGGGCCTGGGGCCTTCTCTGTGTGCAGGGCAGAGCCACAGAAGAGGGCGGGCTCTTGGGCAGGGCTGGCGTGGACAGAGGGAGGGCGAGTCCCGCCAGCATGGGCCACCTGGGGACAGCGGGTCCAGTGTGCACAGAGGGGGCCGGGGTGGGGACAGGGATGGGGAGACAAGTGCAGACAAAGCCCAAGGGGCCAGGACAGATAAGGAGAGAAGCCAAGAGGGAGGGTGGCTGGATGGAGTGGGCCATGGGGACACTGAGGGGATGCAGGAGGGACACTGTGTCCATGGACGACCAGGAGGTCGGGGAGCGCAGTGCGGGGGATAGGAGTGGTCAGAGCAGGGGCTCCGGGCACTTACCTGGTCCCATGCTGGACCTTCTCCCTCGTCTCAGACCCCAAACATTCTGCCCCCTCACTGACCTGCCCTCCATAAATGTCACCATGACCCCCAAAAGTCCTCTGGCCCATGAGCCCCCTCACCATGACTGCCCATGTGGGCTGAGGAGAAGCCGCTGAGGGTGTTGCGGCCGGAGGTGTCGGCGTAGCGGGGCATGGAGCTGACCACGGCCTGCAGGTACTTCTCCTGCTCCAAGCTGCTGGAGTCCGCCTGGGACTGGCCTGGGGCAGGAGGCAGAGCTGCAGTGGGCAGTGGGCATGGGGCACGGGGCACAGGGCACGATGAGGACGAGGGAGGGTACCTGGAGAAGGCGTGTTCTGGGCCTTAAAGAGACCGACGACACCCTTGCCATGCAGGCCCCCTGAGCGCAGCAGCACAGCCTTGGAGCGCCCGCTGCGCCAGCAGACCACGGGGAAGCGGTTCTGGCGGTAGCAGCGGGAGACGCGCTGCAGCGCGTTGTCCTGGACGCTCTGGGGCACGATCAGCAGCCCCGGGTAGCTGTGGGGGGGGGCGTGAGGTGAGGCGAGGCGGCTGCAGGCAGCACCCCAGCCCGTGGCGTCCAGGCCAGCACGCACCTGCGGCAGATGGCGTACATGCGGTTGACCGGGGAGATGCGGAAGGGCTCCGACTTGGCGCGGCTCAGGCTGCTGCTCAGCGTGCCCAGGCCCAGGCGCTGGTAGTCCCTGCAGCAGGCCCGCTCCACCAGGCTGCTCATGGTCATGCGGTCGGAGGGCTTCAGGGCCGAGGTCGGGGTCAGCGTGCCGGGCTCCAGCTCCTCTGACACTGGGTAGGCCAGGCAACAGGAGTCGTCACCCCCACAGCACCAGGGCCCCTGCACAGGGGTCTGCACCCCGAGCACCCAGGGCTGCCCGCACCCCACCTGAGATCTCATCCTCCTGGTCCTCCGGGGACTGGCCCCTGTGCTCGTAGCTGGGGGGGTTGTACTTCTTGCGAGTGACGTGCTGCCGCCCCATGGTCTTCTTGGCGTTCTTCACGAGGTTCCGGGACAGGGTCCTGGAGTGCGAGGTCAGCAGTGAGCAGACAGGCACAGGCCTGCACCCAGCGGTTTGGGAGGCGTGGGCTCCCTGGCACCAGGCCCCGCTCCACACCTGAGAGAAGGACCCTTGTCCTTGGCGGTGCGGGGCGGCCGGCCGGGCGTGTGCGCGGAGCCCTGGGTGAAGGCGAAGGTGTTCCTGATGTCCAGCGGGTACCGCAGCTTGTGCAGCTGCTTTCGGAAGAGCTCGGCGTTCTCGGACCCCACTTCCTCGTCAAAGGCCATCTTCAGCAGCTGCATCAGACACAAGGCCTCTGAGGTCTGGGCGGCCCCGGGCCTGGCCACGACCACAGAGGCGGGCGAGCCTACAGGAAGCCCTGTGCCTCCCGAACGAGATGGATGGTCAATACCCTGCACCAGATGGGCCCCGGGGGTCGGGGAAGGCCCAGCGCCCAGCTGTGAAGGGCCCCCTTGCCTCTGCGTCCTGCTGTGCACACCTGGGGCTGGCGGGTGTTTCGCTCCAAGGGAGCGCTGCCAGCACTGGGCACGCGGGCCCTCGCCACCGGCCAGTGCGGCTGTCAGGCCATGGAGCTCGGCCTCTAACCGTGCTTCCTCCTCATCTGTGTACATTTGGGTCGTGCTGAGCTTATGCAGCACACTCCAGACACAGACTCAAAGGTGGGGGCCCCGTAGAGCAAACAGGAGCACCCCAAAGCTGGCAGATCACCCACTGCATCCTGCCCCCCGGCGGGCCCACCTGGAACGTGCAGGAGCGCAGATGCAGCCCGTCCTGCGGGATCTGTTCCACGGGGGTCGAGACGGTGATGCGCTTTTCCTTGGTCAGTGCGGCCACCGGGAAGGAGCGGACCACCACCTGCTCTCCCACTGTGACAGGCGGCACAGAGTCAGGGGATGGGAGGGGACAGGTCCCAACGTCGGGGTCCCAGGGCTAAGGGGGCTGGGCAGGGGGAAGGAAGCAGGGACCTGCACCCGAGATGGGGAAGGAGAGGCAGGGAGAGTCCTACTTGTTCCAAAGCCCCAGGTGTGAGGCAGGGCAGAGGCGTGTCCACAGGCTCACCCAGGGGGTCGGTGGGCATCCCCGTGAAGATGACCCGGTAGGTGGTGAGGAAGACAGCGCCCTCGGCCGGGAGCACTGCGGGGCCACCCCCGCTGCCCCCAGAGCCCTCCTCACGCCCATCGGGGAGCAGGTAGACACGCAGGCCGTCCAGCACACACTCCTCGCCGGGCAGCAGGTGAGGCCGTAGCAGCTTCGGCTGCTCAGACACAGAAGCGGCACTTCAGGACCCAGCCCAGGCCCGGGGGCCCAGCCCCTCCAGGCCCCACGCACCTTCTGGATGGGGGGCAGCCTCTTGCTCTCGCGGTGCACAGCCTCCAGGGTCTCGATGTGCATCTGGACGATGTCTGGGAGACAACAGTCCTCACCCGGGGCCACGCCCAGGGCCCACGGGGAGCGTGTCCAGACCCAGACCCCCCATACCTGGCACCATGACATGCAGCCCCTTGAGGTGGTCGCTGGTGACCCCACTCTCTGTGCAGACCTTGTCCACGAAGCGGTTGATGAAGCGGACGACAGCCCCGGCCACGTCGCAGGTCTCTGCGTCCTCAAAGCCACTCTCCGTGTCATAGCTCTCGGCCACACTGCCCGCCATGCTGGGCCGGGAGGGCATGGTGGGTACAGGCCTCACGACCGAGCCCCGCCCCCCCCAGGCCCGCGGAGGCCCACCCACCTGCTGGTGACCAGGCTGTTGCTGGCGCTCTCCAGGTCGCCCAGCCCCGCGCGCTCGCGCAGCAGGCGGCTCTTGCTGGAGTCGAGGGGCAGCAGCAGGTAGCTCATGCGGTTGGCGTAGTGGATGGCCTGGCTGAACACCGTGCTCTCCTCTTTCTGCACCAGCTCCTGCTGCTTCTCGCGGCTCAGCATGGGCCACAGACGCCGCTGCTCGGACGCACATCCAGGG